CTGGTGGAGTGGAAGAAGGTAGGTAGAAGTGTTGCTAATCCTTAGATTGCTGGCTCGAAGGAGGTCTGTTTTCAAGCGCACACCTTTTTTTGTTTGGCTGGTTTTCTCGCACTATTCAGCAATCACAGGCATCTGCAGAAAAAACTGAACCCCTTGGGCGAGTCAAACATCAGATTCCTTGAAAGAATGCAACACGATTTAATTCAGTATCCCTTCGGATAATAATTGTTTTGTTAAATTATTTTCACACTGTTAGGTCACACACCAAAAGCCAAAGGCCACTCCAAAACCCTGCCCCCACATTGGCCACACATATGGAAAGTGGCCCACAAGCCTGTGGCCAGATTTAGGCAGTTCCCATATGGTCTAGCGGTTAGGATTCCTGGTTTTCACCCAGGTTAGACTCCCGGTATGGGACGGTGGGCTCCTTTTCGCTTCCCTCCTCCAAAAGCCACAACGTCTTCCTGCACCATACGTGATTTTTGGCCAGCAGTAGGGCTAGAGAAACCTGATAGATTGAGGTTCTGAGTAGCACCCCATGCCTTCGAAAGATCAGCTGGTAGAGTGGAGGAAGGTAGGTAGAAGTGTTGCCATTCCTTAGGTTTCTATCTCGAAGGAGGTCTGTTTTCAAGCGCACACCTTTTTTTTTGTTTGGCTGGTTTTCTCGCAGCAGCAAGCAGAGATTCAATTGACAGTCCACCGTTGGAAGGCAAAATAATATTCCCTGACCGGGAATCGAATCCAGGCCGCTGCAGTGAGAGCGCCGAATCCTAACCACTAGACCACCAGGGAAGGGCTGGGGCGCACGTGAGCTGGTGGGCTTGTGGGCTACACTCCTGATTACAGCATGAGAGTAAACAGACAGCAATTCTGGCCTCTGTCATGTCAAAAAGCAACAAGTCTGGTGCAATCTAGAGGCACTTTTGTCAATGGGCAAGTCGCGCAATGAATACCACGTCTGACTACAGCTCAGAAGATTCTAGGTTTGACTCCTTGCTGGCTTGCTGTGTATTTACTTTTCTCAGGCTGTTTTTGTAAATGTTTTTCTTTTCTTTTTTGAAAAGTCCAGAAGAAAAGGCAAATCTCAATGCGTCTGACTATGGATCAGAAGATTCTAGGTTCTACTCCTTGCTGGTTCACTCTTTGTTTACTTTTCTCAGGCTGTATTTGTAATTGTTTTTTTCCCCCCGAAGAGTCCAGAAGAACAGGCAAATCTCCATGCATGCATCTTTTATTCCACAAAAGCTGTATGTTTCACACCCGTTCCAATGTCTATGGGAGACGCGCACATGCTTCGTGATTGCCATTCGTCCCACAAGCACCCTGACAAGCTCAGCGATTAAGATGGAAATAAACTCCTCACTTGATTCTTGAATGAACAACTTCATCTGTACTCTGTAACTTCTTCACTACTTTGAGGGGTGTTATAGCATGTGGTTTTGATGTAATGGGCTTGCCATTTTGTAGCCTTATTCCTAACTGCCACCTGGACATTGAGAATAAGTTGTAAACGAAATGAAACTGAACGACCGAATAATCAACAACATATACGATTAAAAATTGGTCTCTTTTTCATTGTTAATCTCAAAATTTGTCATTTTTGTACCTTGACACTCCAACTGTAGACTGTTTTCCTCTAGATAACGGTTACCACGCATGTTTTCAAATGCATGACGTGAGTATTTTCACCTGGACAATACTTTTATTGCCAGTTCGAGGTATTGTAGAAGATTTTAATTAATCCACAAGCCTGTGGCCAGATTTAGGCAGTTCCCATATGGTCTAGCGGTTAGGATTCCTGGTTTTCACCCAGGTTAGACTCCCGGTATGGGACGGTGGGCTCCTTTTCGCTTCCCTCCTCCAAAAGCCACAACGTCTTCCTGCACCATACGTGATTTTTGGCCAGCAGTAGGGCTAGAGAAACCTGATAGATTGAGGTTCTGAGTAGCACCCCATGCCTTCGAAAGATCAGCTGGTAGAGTGGAGGAAGGTAGGTAGAAGTGTTGCCATTCCTTAGGTTTCTATCTCGAAGGAGGTCTGTTTTCAAGCGCACACCTTTTTTTTTGTTTGGCTGGTTTTCTCGCAGCAGCAAGCAGAGATTCAATTGACAGTCCACCGTTGGAAGGCAAAATAATATTCCCTGACCGGGAATCGAATCCAGGCCGCTGCAGTGAGAGCGCCGAATCCTAACCACTAGACCACCAGGGAAGGGCTGGGGCGCACGTGAGCTGGTGGGCTTGTGGGCTACACTCCTGATTACAGCATGAGAGTAAACAGACAGCAATTCTGGCCTCTGTCATGTCAAAAAGCAACAAGTCTGGTGCAATCTAGAGGCACTTTTGTCAATGGGCAAGTCGCGCAATGAATACCACGTCTGACTACAGCTCAGAAGATTCTAGGTTTGACTCCTTGCTGGCTTGCTGTGTATTTACTTTTCTCAGGCTGTTTTTGTAAATGTTTTTCTTTTCTTTTTTGAAAAGTCCAGAAGAAAAGGCAAATCTCAATGCGTCTGACTATGGATCAGAAGATTCTAGGTTCTACTCCTTGCTGGTTCACTCTTTGTTTACTTTTCTCAGGCTGTATTTGTAATTGTTTTTTTCCCCCCGAAGAGTCCAGAAGAACAGGCAAATCTCCATGCATGCATCTTTTATTCCACAAAAGCTGTATGTTTCACACCCGTTCCAATGTCTATGGGAGACGCGCACATGCTTCGTGATTGCCATTCGTCCCACAAGCACCCTGACAAGCTCAGCGATTAAGATGGAAATAAACTCCTCACTTGATTCTTGAATGAACAACTTCATCTGTACTCTGTAACTTCTTCACTACTTTGAGGGGTGTTATAGCATGTGGTTTTGATGTAATGGGCTTGCCATTTTGTAGCCTTATTCCTAACTGCCACCTGGACATTGAGAATAAGTTGTAAACGAAATGAAACTGAACGACCGAATAATCAACAACATATACGATTAAAAATTGGTCTCTTTTTCATTGTTAATCTCAAAATTTGTCATTTTTGTACCTTGACACTCCAACTGTAGACTGTTTTCCTCTAGATAACGGTTACCACGCATGTTTTCAAATGCATGACGTGAGTATTTTCACCTGGACAATACTTTTATTGCCAGTTCGAGGTATTGTAGAAGATTTTAATTAATCAAAATGTAAATTGTTCAGGTATAATCGGTGTGAATGTGGCCATTTTTTTATTAAGTTATTCTACTATTATAATCATGTGTATTTGCTTGCATGTTTAGAAATCTGTATGAGAATGGAATGTGCAGACATATGGTGAAGTACATTATAAGCACATCATGGCACATAATGGGGCCCTTATTTTCACAGAACATGAAATGTGATGATCCCATAACAAATATGAATGAAACCATTAAACAAGCCTAGAGTACGAACAGTATATAAGAGAGTACAGAAAAATAGTCTGGAGATTGCTCTGCAGAGTTCTCTCAGGTTTTATTGTCTCTGATAATAAAATCTCTTCTGACATCAAAATCTCAAGACTCTGAGAAAGATTCTTCACAATAGCGGCAGAAGCCACCACATCATTTTGGCGCCCAACGTGGGGCTGGACAGGAGCAGAGGGTGGAGAACCACTTTGGGCTGGCTTGACGAACAACATTTTTAGTGGCCACTAAATAATAAAGGTAGGCAGTTTTTTTTGCTTATATAATAAATGTTGTTTGCCAAAGTCAGCCGGGGGTGGTATAGACACTCAAAAATGCTCCTCCAAATTTAAAGAACAAAAAGAAAAAGGATTTTGATTACAGAAAAAATAATATCATGCACTGATCTGTTTTACTATAATAGTGAATGAGGGCAGATTATGCATGCAAAAATCTGTGTTTACTGCCCAGAGGGCCTTGATGGAGGGCAGTGGACGTTAAGCAGATATACATTGCATGCAATGGTCTGTGTTTATTGTTAAGTGGGCCTTTGAAGGATAGCAATAAACATTTAGCAGATAAATTATAAGGAAGCGCACAAAGTCCTAAGGATAGGCAAAAATTCCTGCAGGGTCCTGCTTTTTTACTGTGTTGAGGAAGTGTATCAGTGAAAGAGCGAGTAGAACTGACAGGTTACTCAGGAAGAGTATAGTGTAGTCTGTGTAAATGTATGTATCTGTGTCTGTCTGAGTGTATTTGTGACTTGTGGTTGTATGAGAAAATAAACTCTATATCTGGTGGAGCAAGAGGTGTGCCCCTCCTGGACACAGCTGGAGTTGTGCTGGAGAAGAGTGAATGAGTCTGTGAGCCCTAAACAATAAAGAGACTTGTATGAATGTTGTTTTAGAAAAAAAGTATGCCAAGATATGGACTTTGCAGATTATTTAAATAATAATAGATTAATTGAAATAAGATATATATTTAATATTTAAAGACTTGTCTAAACAGATTAATAAAAAGATTGGACGTGCTTAAAACTTTATATTTAATAACTGAAGACTTCTCAAATTTGTATCTTGTTATCCCTGGGACACAGTATGAAAGTTAATCTACTACAGAACTTCAGCGATTTAGACTGGTGTTAACTAAAAGATAACTTGTGTAGTGCAATGTTGAATCAGAGCAAGATTGGGTGACCAAATTCATAGAAATTTTGATTCAAAAGCTATTTAACAATAATAATGGAACTTGTTGATTAAATATTTAAATAAAAGGAATTTTGTTATGTTGGTTGGGAAAAATGTATTCACCATTACCAGATAATTCTGAATTATGTATGGAAATATAGAAGAAAAATTATGATTGAAGTCCAAAAATGATTTGTTTAACCCAAACTAATGAATAATAATGTGCATTTGATTAGATATAACTGCAGTAAAAGATTATGACTGTAGTAAAAGATTATGAGATGCATTATTTGAATGCTTGGCCAAAGAGATGTGTCTTTAATCTAGATTTAAACAGAGAGAGTGTGTCTGAACCCCGAACGGTATCAGGAAGGCTATTCCAGAGTTTGGGAGCCAAATGCGAAAAAGCTCTACCTCCTTTAGTGGACTTTGATATCCTAGGTACTACCAAAAGTCCAGAAATTTTACCATAATCATGTCATGCTGTTGTAAAAGGAAATACTATTTTGTTTTATTGCAGTATACTTAGATAATAAAGGTAGATTACTGCTGCTTTCTGCACTTTGCAAAGAAAAAACTGATTGCTATTTTTCTGCAATGAAGAACTTGCTTTACTAAAATAGAATAAGGGAACTGCTGTTTTTAACCAGATGAGATTGTTTTTATTAAGGGAACATTGAAAGAGATGGTTTAAAAGATAAAGAGCAGATTGCTCAGACACAATTTGGTAAAGAGTTTACAAAGGTTCAATTTGATTAATGCAGTCTCTGAGTGTTCAAATTTCAGATGACTTCTGGAACAGTGCTTTGACAAAGGGAAGCAATGAACTGGAGTCTGTCTAACAAAGTGCTGAAGAAGCAAAGACAGCTGCAGAGAGAAGAAGAGGGAGGGGTTAATGGACACTCCCCTCCCCTCCTAAAAGAGGAGTGCACACTTCAGCATGGAGAAAGACTGACTTAATGCAGGAAAAGGTGATTCCCTCACTTGAGACTTTTCCTGAGGTTGAAGAGAACATCCTGAAATGCAATACTCTGGCAGAAGCAATCAAAAGCCAGACTGAGGGGAGGCAGAGAAAGAACGGAGACCATACACCACAACATCAGGCTTTTAAGTGCCATCACAGACTGACGACCCAGTGCAACAGCCCAGGCTGATGATCTAACCAGAAGGACTTCCATCTCTTCCCATTGCGTGCACAGGTGCTGCATATATAATGATCACTCACTATAGAGACTGCTTCATATTCTGTTAATTATTTTATTAACTTTAATAATCATGATTATCCACTGGTCTCACAGCAGTTCTTTGAATTCTGTGTTTTAACTAACATTCTCAATCTGCTTTTCAATAGGTACCAGTCCAGCCTTATGTCTTGAAGAAAAAGTAATTATGACAGACAGAAGTGAGTGCTTGACTCACCAATCAGATAAAAATGGAGCTGGATTTTGCATAGTGAAGGCTATTTTCATTAACCAACAAGGGGGAAATGCACAACTGAATTATTGACAACAATGCTGAACTCTATGGGGAAAAGAAAAAAAACAGGTAGACAAGATGCCTAATAGAAAAAATTATGGCTGATAAAATAAAAATTTAGCTCACTCCATTTTGTTTAATAGTAATTTTCTAGGGCTAAAATGAATAAAATAATAATAAAAATAATTACTCCAAAATCATGAAATCACATTTGTTGTTATCACTGAGGATAACAAGATGGAAAGTTTGATGGCCATGGATCCTAGATTATGCAGATCTCCAATCCTCTTCTCAAAGTGCTCATGAGTAATAACAAAAAAGTATTTGTCTAAAATCTAAATTAGACAAACAAGTGACATTTGAGAAATTATAATTGGCTCTCTCAAGTGCACAATGCCGAGGCCTATTATGCTAAACAAATTAATCTATTCGAGTTTGATGAAAAAAGAAAAAAAAGAAAAAGAAAAGAGGTTTATACAGCGGTGTTAAACTAAACTTTATGGTGACTGACGTTGCCCAGTTGTATGACATCTAGAAACTATGAGGAATGCTACCAGGTCTATACTCAGAAGAGTCTAACAAAAGAAAACATAAAAAAATTATGCAACTCAGAATTCGTGGCATTCACAACTAAAATCATTAAGTTCAAAATCAGCTGAAAACTCAAGAAAAAATATGTTTTTGGCAAAAAGGGGGATGTGAAAGAGTGTGAAAAAGCATGAATGATGGTGTTGTGTGGAGTGAAAGAGGGTGTCTGATGAGACACTAAGGCAAATCAATCATTTTGCCAAAACAGCTGTATGCAAATTTTAATATGTGGGCCCACAGGGCAAATTATGCCCAGTAAAATAATGACCATGGATGCATTTGGGTTAAGTTTCTTGGTCAGTACCTATAGGTTATTGTTGTGGCAGAAAGAAAAACGGAGCCACACTTGCGCAGCATATAACATGGGAAGGCAGAGCAAAGCAAGCTTGCTCTGTCCACCCCACATCTAACTTTCTTTACAGCATATCATGATGGAGCTGATTCTGTGTCAAAAGGATAAAATATTGTATTTCTGACTGTTAATATAAATAAAGTGGGTTGAGTGTTTTCAAGGTCAAAAGGCCTATGCTACTGAGCAAGATATGCCTAGGAAATTATCCAATGATATAGTGGAACTCAGTTTATAAAACAAAGAGATAACTGAATTAGCAAATTGTTGAGAATAAATTTGAAATTAATTGAAAAATAGTAAGGATGCAGATAACTGAGTAAAACCAAATTCTTTATTATATTATAGAAAGTGGGTATTAGCCCTGCTCAGAGCTAAAAAAAAAGGGGCCAGGACAGCCCTCAACCCACCTGAAATTTCCACAGGTCACACCAAGAAGGATGACTGGCCAGATGAGCAAATGAGCATGCTTGATATCACTAACAGAAAACTCTGAAGGTTTCCATTTACAGGTGAAAGCAGTTCTATAAAGGACAAGGAACGGTTTGCTCCATCAATAAGAACCACTTCAACAACTCCACACAGCATTTCACGAGTTCACACTTACTTATAATGAACCGAGTAAAGTTTATGCGTATTTGGCGTGCTGTCCGGGGAGAGGGCTCCAACGACCCTCCCTTGCCAACGAGGGAAAGACCATTGCAACGACTCGCAAAGAGTCACCCTGGTGGAGAAGGAATGAATGATGGGACGGCTAACGAGATGATAAAAATACTTGGGAACAGATGTGGGCAAACAAATGGAAAAGAGGAAGTGGAAAGAGAAGGAAACAGACAAGCAGACAACTCAGGAGCAAGTGACGTGGAGAGACCAGAGACGCAAGATGAAGTGCAAACTGATGACATCTCAAAAAGAGATAAGCAAGGAGCTCACATTCTTTTGTCAGAGAAGCAGAAAAGTTAAAAGATATCTGATGATCATCACATGCCTAATGCATCTAATTCGACAAGCTCAAGCCGTAGACAACAGCACCCAGACTTCCCTAGAATCAACTTTCACCCCCTCAGTTGAATCTAGCATTCGCTTTGACTTAATCCAAAAAGAACAAGAACTAGATAAGGAGGAAAAAGTAACTAGACAAAATAGACACATTGTAAATGACAACCATAATATCAGTTTTAAGAAAACTGGCAATTCAAATTTTTTATGGGAAAAGGTAGAATAAAATAATTGATATAAATGGGTAAATTACACAGCAGAAAAAGAAAAGTGGGAAAACTGCATAGTTTGCTTTGAAGCAAGACCAGTCTTATATATTGTACCAATACTCATACACAGTTCAAGTTGTAGAATATTTCATGATGAATGGTTTAAGACAAGGGTTCTCAAACTTTTCCATTCCACAACCCACCTAAACAAGTATAATATTTCAAGACCCACTAAAATATTTGAGATAAAAAAAAATTGACATTACTGTAAGCTTAAACTTAATAAAAAGTTTCATATGCCAGAAATTAAGTTTTTAAGAAAAATAACCATTTTATTTTATAGTATTATTTATAGTGTAATTCACTAATAATATTAATGTTTTAATTTTTTCATTTACAGATGTTAAAAAAGTCTATGAAATATGTCCATGAAATATGTCAATTTTTTTATTTAGCAAAGCATAAGATGCAAAGCAGAACTATCTAAAACAGTTTGGAGATTAAAATAATTGTGAAATAATTGTAAAAAATAATAAACAGATGTGTCTCATTTTAAATAGGCCTAAACAAACCAAGATGACAAATTAATTTCAGCCAAAAAGTTACTGTTGCAATGATAAAATAAATGTCCAGAACTTTGGTAAAGGAGAGCAGTCAGTTATAAAGTCTTATCTGTTGAAGGGCCAACTGATGAAATGACGAACTGGAGCAGTGGTCCTTATTGGGGTAAGCCAGAAACCCTTGGAATAAATCCTTAGGCGGTTGCAAAACTACACCTAAGATCCATAGTTATGCACTCCACATAGTAACACCAAGTGGTAGGATACATAGAGTCCTCTACAAAAGGAAACAATTCATTAACTTTCAAACAAACTCACCAAACAAATTTAACCCACAAAACATTAAAATAAGTGACTTCCCCAATCAATAAATCTCAAGTTTTACATGAAGAACCAAACAACAAACTCACGGTTGAGCAGCAAAGCCAATGTTAGAGAGAGTATAAGTTTTTCATCTACCTACATGTTTAACGCGCTGCAGTTCTAGGTCTCGTCACACCGGTGTGAGATTTAAACCGCAAAGTTTTTCATCACCTTACACTTTGAAACCAGAACAATTGTATATGTTTCCATGGCTGTTCGCTCTTTCTGTTTGAATTTGTTTACCGCAGTTTCACCATTCTTATCTTATTTTCCCACCTAATTGTAATTGTTAGGCCTTACGCTTATGGCGTTATACGCTTTGTCTCCTAGTTTTGCTGTCATGTTAGCGGGCCCTCTTTGTTTATATAAGTTCTGCGAATTTGGTTGATTTAATAAAATATTGCTTTAAACCTCGTCTTCATTCGAGACATTCACGTTACATTATTATATTATCCTAGCTTATATCAGATATAAGATACAAAATCGTTTCTTATTCATTATTTTCCGTCTACGCTCGTACGTCATGCAAGATATGTCCACAAATGTTTTAAGTAAACTTGATGATCCAGAAATATTCAGCCCTCAATTTAATAAATGCAACAACTTTTGCCTCAGACCACCTAACAAATTAATCTGTTCAGTGGTATTGTTAAAAAATTTTTAAAGAAAGATCCCTGACTTTTAAAACTTGTTTTGCTAGTTATTTAAGTAAATTAAAACACAATACTTACATTGAAAAGTGTATTTGTCGGCTGCCACAGAACTATCACCCACTATTTTGTTTGAATAAAAATCCCGTTGTCACCGGCACGCTATGAATTCTGGGATAGGGTAGGCCGCGAAGGATCCATCTGTTGTATCCTTAATTTGCCTGCAAAACGGAGGGCGCATTTCGAATTGCGGCAGCCTTCGTTGCGCCGCAGTGACGCAATTAGCCTTCGAATGCAGCCTTCGTAGGACGCAGCCTTTGAATTGGGACACAGCTACTGTAAGCTATAGCTTAACTAACTCAGTTATTATTTTCTTTATGTTAATATTTAAAATGATTTAAATTACTACCAACGTCTTACAACTAATTTAACAATTTAATTAACTAAACATTTAATAATTTTGTTATTTATAATGAATTTCTTTGCAATTTACCGGCAGGCCCGATTTCTATTTGAACACAAACTCAGGTGTTTGGAGCAGTAGGTTAAACCAGTCCTAGCACCTCTAATTGGCATTGCATTAGAAAAAAACAAGAGGTATGTCTGTGACTGAGTAGGTACATTGCTCAATGCTGCAAAACACATATATACATATATATATATATATATATATATATATATATATACATATATATATATATATTTAACTTAGTTGTTTGTGACGGGGGTAAATTAAACTCGAAAACAAAAAATTGTCCACACACTGATTAGACTGCTCCCAAAAAATTTATTGGTACTGGTACAACGTTCCGACCATCAGGTCTTCATCAGGCACAAACAAAAATGGTAGAAGATAAGTCTTTATAGATAACAGGAGTGTATTCCAGAAAGTGGGTTTTGTTGGAAACTCTGTGCTTTCTGTTCCAATAAAAGACTAAAATAAACCTCTTGATAAGTTACCATAGTAACTTACTCTGTGAACCTAACCTGGTCGGGAGCAGGTTTTCTTTGGTAAACCCAGAGTTTCTTTCGATCTCCTCCCTCCTTTTAAAGCGTAAGCAATGTTTAAATACCTCATTCATTCATTCACTCATGCTGCAAAAATGTAAAATATTATTGCTGAGATGTTTGCCTGATTTCAAGTACAAATATCTAAAAAATCTTAAATTATGATGCAATTTCTATATAAAAAAAAGAAAATATTAGTCTTGTTTCCTGGGGGAAATAAAATTATCTGCCAGTGGGGTGAAAAAAAATTATCTTAATGCAAATGGAAACAAGATTATTTTTTCTCACCACACCACTTTAATTTTCATCATGCAGTCACTGTAAATGTAAGAAAGGCCACCCCCGAAAGTGAACTCTTCCGAACCATCCCACCTGTGTTCATGATTTGGACTGTTCCAAAACTTTCCACAGAGTGGAAACCAACACAGTATTGAGGTTGGATGTGTATATGTGTTAATAGTCAATAGTTAATAAGTTTAATTAGTTAGAAGTGCCCCGTTTAAGGATTGTGTAGATATATGTGTGCATGCAACTAATTGTAAGTACATTTACCTAATTTATTGTATAATAAGTTCACGAGAGAGATTAATGACCGCTACAGCGGTATTCTGACTAAATATTTACATTGTTAATTATATTTGCACATTATCTTGTGGACAAAATGTTATAATTCTCCTGTGTTGTTTGTTTGATAGAGTATTTAATGTTATGTTGCATAGTAGGCTATAATGCGTAGATTTGAAACACATCTCAGGCAACATGTCCGGGCTTGTTCACCTGACGAGTTTGGCATGTGAGCTAGACACAGTGCAGTAGTGTGATCATTTTATAGAACTTCGATTCGTATTTGTATCTATATTATATTTGTATCATTTACTTTATGTTATCTGATATATCATTTACAAGGCTGTTACTTATGAGTATTCAAGTACTGCTATAAAGATATGTTAATGTATACTTATTCATTTATTTATATTTGTATACTGTTTTATATTTACAGAATCACACATCTTTGCACAATAAATCACCCTGAAGTACATTCCTGGTGTGAGACCTAATGTTCTGACCTCATCCTGTAGCCGTTCAATGAATCTGAACCAGAGTTAGACAAGAGTAGTAAGCAGTTTTTCATGGTCCTTCGAGCCGGATGTGTGGATTAGTACAGACATGTCTCACCCAGAAAGAGAAGCCCCTTCTGTGCGACCAAGGAGACGAGTTAACCCTCCAGCCTACTAGAAGACGTTGAGCTCAGTGGACCTGGGTCTCATCGACAACAATCAAGGTCGCTTACCTGCCAAGGAGTACTGGAGGATGAACCAGCAAGTACTACAGGTCATTCCAGATCCACTTCACCAGTGAGCCAAGCATCAGAACATTCCGAATGGATACTGACCGACCAATGGGACAGCGCTTCTGAGAAGCTGAGAGAGGAGAATGCTGCATTGCAAAGGCAAGTAAAACAGCTGCCAGAGCTTACAACCATGTTAGAGGAGATGAAGAGGGAGAAAGCAGCCTTGCAACGACAATCCAGCCAGCACCTTGAGATCATTTCAGCATTCAAAGAGATGCGTCAACAAAATGCTACACTTTGGCATGAGATTCAAAGCTTGAAATCGAAGCGGAGATCTCCACCTGAGTCATTCACTCCACCAATACCATCACCACACTCCCACTCTCCAGCAGTCAACCTTCAGACTCCACAGTCATACCCAATACCAGCCCAATACCAGCTCCATGCTCCAGGTTGCCACCAACTGCCACTAAGAGACCGCCACACCCAGCTGTTCCAGAGGAAAGCTCAGAGCTGACCGAAACTCTGAGAAACATGAACATTTCTTCCTCCCCTCAAGAGAAACCCTCCTTTGCAGTACATTATAGTGACTCAGCTCAGTTCAGGTATCCCAGCTCGTCCCCAAATTCCCAGCCACCTCAGCTGCCTGAGTCCGTGGTCCCATCACAGGAAAGGAGGAGGCCAGCCCATGCAGAATACAGCTCAGATAATCTTTTATCTTCATTTACCCAGGAGAAATCTTACAGAGGTCCAGCCCCTACCATCCCCTGCCTGATGTCTGCTGACCCTAGGGAGTTTTCAAGACTGATAATTGCTTTAGAGAACATCCTGCCTGATGATACCACAGAAAGTTTAACATTTCAAATCCTCACAGACCATCTGAAACTGGAGGAGGCCCTACTGGTGGCAGACTCTTACAGTAATTCCAGATTTCCCTTCACCAACACCATGAAAGCTCTGGATAAGATGTATGGTCAGCCCCACCAATTAGCCCTGCAATGAATCGCTGAGCTGATGGATGGAGCTAGTATACGCAGTGGAGATGTAAGGGCCTTCAGGATGTTCGGACTGCAGGTGCGCTCGCTTTTCAGTATGTTGCAGCAACTGGGCCACAAAGGTACTGTAGAGCTGGAATGTGGATCACATGTGTCTCGACTCCTGAGTAAACTGCCACATGACCTCAGATCGAGTTTCAAGCGGTACACCCACCCTTTGCAAGTCTCTATTCCCACCTTAATGGACTTCGCTGATTGGCTGGAATATGAGCTTCAAGTACAGCAAGACAATAGCCAGTACGCTTGTTATCCAAGGCAGGAATCTTCGGTTCGTGGCAGAGAGGTGAGAAGAGAGTCTAAGCAGCCTTGCAGACTGACCACCATTCTACTTGGTACTGACAAGTCACATTCCACATCAATGTCATCAGCCACGTCTAAACCAGCTTCAGTCAGAGAAGAGAAGGTGAGAGCTTATTGTCCATACTGTGAAAATAATAAACATTATTTGAATGGCTGTGACAACTTCAAGCTTTTCAGCAAAGACCTGAAGATAGATTGGATAAAGACAAAGAACCACTGCTGGTGTTGTGGTCGTGGACATCAAGCAGCTAACCGCACACTAAAGACTCTCTGCAACAAGGAGCACCTTTTGGTACTGCATGATGTCAATGAACAGGCCAAGCCATCTCAGCCAAGTGCAGCTCCTTCCGGTGCAATTTTATATGTTGACTGCCCAACCTCCGGCAGTAAAGTACTGCTCAAAGTGACTATGGTTCTGATCAGCAACGTGGCCATGGAGGCCTACGCCATATTAGATGATGGATCAGAGCGGACCATCATTCTGCATGATGCAGTGCAGTAATTAAGACCTGTGGGTGAGCCAGAGGACCTTGTACTCCGTACAGTGAGACAGGATACCCAGGTCATTCACGGGGCGGCAGTGACTTTTACTGTGTCCCCAACTGTTAACCCCAGCAAAGCTAACAAGATCTGTAACGCTTTCACAGTCAAAGCACTCGGTCTGGCAGAGCATACACACCCAAAAAAAAAGAAGGGCGCATGCTCGTGGCGTTTTATGTTGTTTTTATGTGTTTTATGTGATTAACTTAATAGTACTATGGAGTGGAGATGGACTATTATGCTTGCATTTATTTTATTTTGGTTAACGGATGATTTAAATGCCATTTGGGATGGCTTGCACCCGAATAGGATTTACTACGACAGAGAACTGTTGTTGTCATGGGAGAATCTCTCACCGGTGAATCCACCTGTGGACTTCTTCCCAGATCTGAGTGCTTTTGCTGATGGACTCAACTCCAAAGCCCACTTCAACGGGTCGAGTTAGTGACCAAGGAAGCGAGGGAGAAGAGGTGGGGTACATGAAAGATTGAGAAAGAGACCGCTCTCTCGAATACCGCTTCCATCTATTATTTTAGCAAATGCTCGGTCTTTACATAATAAGATTGAGGAACTTCACGCACATGTTCGTTTTCAACACGAATTCAGAGACAGTTGTTTGCTTGCAATCTCGGAGACTTGGCTATCGAAATTGGACTCTGATGAAGTTTCTAATTAATGGATTTAGTGGCCAATTTCAAACTGACCGTGACTCTGAGATAACTGGCAAGACGCGAGGTGGAGGGGTATGTTTATATGTGAACGAGCGTTGGTGCAAGACTGTTGTCGTGAGAGAGAAAGTATGCACAAAGGACATTGAGATGCTCACAATATCCCTCCGGCCTCATTATCTGCCTAGAGCAGGGTTCCTCAAATCTTACCCTGGAGGTCCAATGCGCTGCAGAGTTTAGCTCCAACCCTGATCAAACTCAGCTACCTGTGATTTTCTAATGATCCTGAAGACATTGATTAGCATGCTCAGGTGTGTTTGATTAGGGTTAGAGCTAAACTCTGCAGGAAAGTGGATTTCGTGGGCCAGATTTGAGGATCCCTGGCCTAGAGCATTGGCCTCAAACTCAATTCCTGGAGGGCCACAGCTCTACACAATTTAGCTCCAACCCTAATCAAACACACCTGATCCAGCTAATCAAGCTCTTCATGATTACTAGAAACTTCCAAGCAGGCGTGAGTTGGAGTTAAACTCTGCAGAGCTGTGGCCCTCCAGGAATTGAGTTTGAGACCACTGGCCTAGAGAGTTTCCCCAAATATTTGTGTCTGTTGTGTATATTCACCCAAAGGCGAATGTGAACTTGGCTATGGAATACATTGAGAAGAGTTTTATGAAATACCAGTTACTATCTCCAGATGCTCCGATTTTTATCATGGGTGATTTTAATAATTGTGTATTGGAAAAATCTGTAAAGAACATGTATTGGTATGTCACATGTCCAACTTGGTATAAAAGGACATTGGACCACTGCTATGGCTCTATTAAGGGAGCATACAAAGCTTCTCTACTACCTCCTTTGAGTTTGTCAGATCATAATTGTATTAATCTTATTCCATGTTATATTACTGAACTGAAGAGGGGAAAAGTTGAAACAAAAACTGTGAAATCTTTGACTGATGATGCTATTGATAGTTTACGAGGATGTTTTGATTGTACCGTATGGAATGCTTTTAAGGATTCATCTGCTGATATTGATGAGCTTAATGATGTGGTTAGTTCCTGGGTAACTTATTGTGTTGACTCTGTCATTCCTGAAAAAGTTGTGAAGAGATATCCAAATAGTAAGCCATGGGTGAGCACTAATTTTAAGGGTCTGTTGATTAAGAAAATAACAGTTTTTCAACGAGGGGATTTGCTTGAAGTTAAAAATGTACAGAAATTAATTAGACAAGAAATTAGGAGGGCAAAAATACGTTATAAGGAAAAAGTGGAGATTAAATTAAGAACAAACTGTATGGGCTCAGTATGGGATAGTCTTAAATTAATGACGGGCCTAAATGAAGGATGTAGAAAACAAGTGAAATTAACCGGTTATGAGTTACATAGTGCCCTTGCTGAGGATTTTAATAAGTTTTATGCTAGATTTGAAGAGCAGAATGGTGGCATAAGGCATGAGTTCTATAACTCCTCTCAAGATGGAAGTTTACCTGTTTTTTTTAATGTAGAAAGTGTAGTTAATCTTTTTAAACAATGTAAAAATAAAGTGAGTCCTGGTCTGGATGGAATAAGTGGTAGGGTCCTGAAACAGTGACTGGGTTGTCAGATTTGTTTGACATTCAGATGATAAAGAAAGCGCATCACATCATATCTGACACATCTCACCCTCTTTATGATTCATTTCAGACCCTCCCCTCAAGATCCTTCTATAGGGACCCTCTAGCTAAGACAAACAGATTTAAATTTTCGCTTGTTCCATATGCTATCAAGTTGCTTAATTCAAATAGGAAGAGGTAGTTTTTTGTCCTTTTCAGAATCAGAATCAGAATCAGAAGAGCTTTATTACCAAGTATGTTTACACACACGAGGAATTTGACTTGACGACAGGAGCTTCCAAGGTAGAAGAAAGTACAAACATAGTGCAGACATACATGATAGTGTAGACATACATAGGAATAACACAGTAGGGATGTAATATAAAACTAATATAATAAAAAAAATAGAAAAATTTAATAATGTACTATATACAGAAATAGAAGTATAGGACAAATGTAATTGTTTAGATAAATGTACAGATATGTTTATTAATGTGCAGATATGTTATTTACAAAGTGTGCAGTTTAATATAACAGGTCTGTCGAGGTGTTGCAGGATGTAATGCAGTCCCATGTTGACTGCATCATCCACAGACCTGTTTGCTCTGTAGGCAAACTGAAGAGGATCCAGCAAGGGTCTAGTGATGTCCTTCAGGTAGGCCAGGACCAGTCTCTCAA